TGAAGAATACTGGTCTGGCATTTCTCATCTACAAAAAAATCAAAAATTTAAATCACTTTAGGTAATTAATAGATTAATACATAAAGTTCCAAAGTCAAACTTATATATCAAACCTGAATCATCAGAAAACTTACTTGTTTAATAATATGCTTGCCGTGGGTCTGACGTCCATATCTCCAGAGACAAATAATTTTCTAATGTTAATCTTATGCTAGATTAATATTAGAGGGCCAGAGTCATATATAATTTGATGTTTTTAATTCGAAAGTTAAAGTTTCTAAGATTAAGTTAGATAGCGTAAAGATAGTGTGCAGTCAATAAATCAGTGTAATCAATTTTTACAAATACTTTTATGTTCTTTCTTAATGGTTGTTTATTACAAAATATGCAGCATTTGGAAGTGTTTGTTTTGAATCTTCTAAACACGGTGGGACCGTGGAGATTAAGAAAGATGAGTCATTTCTTCAAGGGTATAAATCTGTTCTCAGTTCAAAGGGCAAAGAAGAAATGTTGGTGAGTTAGAACCTCTATTTCCATTATATATATATATATGTATGTATGTATGTATGCATAAACTTAATACACTAGCATGCATCTGAGATTTACTTAATTTATTCAAATTATAAATATATAGGCAAATCTTGCCAGATGGGAACCAAGGCATGGGCGTTTCAGGCTATTTTATCCGTGGAAGCAGCACTTGAAGATTGGAGGCCTTGCTCGAGAATGTGCCTCGTTGATTGAAGCTATGAATCCCTACGTTGACTCTGATTTCCAAGTAGTTTTTCACAATCTTTAAAAAACCAAATTCAACTCTCATATACACCGTTTCTTTAAGTATTTTGAAAATGATACAGTGACTATATTTGTGTATAAAAAATACTTCATAACATGATATAGTATTTTTTTTTATCGACGTTGATAAAAAAATAGTTTTTATTGATCTTTTTTATCTAATAAATGACGTAAATTAATAAGTGTTTTTTTTTTTCATTTTTTTTGATACTAGACAAATTTTATTGATAAAATAACATAAATATAAGACCAATAGTACGATTGAATGACGGAATTTTTCTAAGTAAATTGCAAAAAACTATAGAGTAAAGTCTTTCCCCTCTTAGTGGTTGGATTTAAGTCACTTTGTTCTATCTTTGTTTTAGCAACTCTCACTATTCATTTTAAATAGAAGTTCTAATGATCTTATAAAAGAAAGCATGTGGAGTTAAATATAATAAATGAGCTTTTCAACTTATTACTTTTGGATTGTCAGTTGAATATCATTTATCAAATATTAGATTGACTAGTAACACAGCACATATATTAAGCTTTGTGAACCAAGATAGAGGCATATAATTAAAAGAGTGGTTCTTAATTTTTCATATAATAAAAAGCCATAAAAGTGATAAATTTCTTAAAAATTTATTACTTTGAATTCTAGTTTTCTAATTTATGTTTCATTCTACTTTCAGCAATCACCAGAATTTCAAAGCAAAATTCAAGAATCATGCAAAAAGATGAGTGCAGAAAGTAGCAAGGCATTAAGAGAACTAGCCACAGCAATCAAAACGATGACAGGGCCATCCTCTGCCAGTCCTTACTTGGAGAATTCCAAATCTGCCATGAACCACCTTAAAACTGCTCTCAAAGATTTCTCATTGGAGAGTACTGATCTCCTAGCAATCTTACAGGCTGCCACAGTCGCTTCAATCCTTGTTGAGATCATTAAATGCATGGAAAAAATTTCGAAAGCAGTTCGTGAACTCTCCAAGCTAGCACGTTTCAAGAATGCAGAACCTACCGTGTCATGCAAGAAACTGCATCAGCTGTTCATAAACCCAAGTTTTGAAGGTGATGGTAAACTTAACATG